CACTCATGCCTGGCCTTCTCCAAGCAGGCCAGGAAGAATCGCGAAAACCGCCTCCGGAGACTGCTTTGGGATCGGGCCTTATGCAGTCTGATCCGCTGATCTCTGCCCCAAAGCCTGGCTCCTCTTCTGTGGCCCCACCTTCATGCCCTTCGGACGGAGGCGCGTCTGCTTTGGTGGCTTCCTCAGCTTCTCCCAAGAAGAAGCATGAGAAGTGAAAGCATGCCGAACCCGAAAAGCCGGCAAGCCATAAGAAGGCCAGGAAGGAGAAAGTCTCCAAGCCTCCTAAGAAACCAAGGGGCTCGGACCGTCCCCGTCACTGGGACTCGGATTCGACGGCCCCCTTGGTACCGGCCCCCTTGGTACCGGCGGCCCTTACGGTACCGACTCCGCCTGACCCTGCTATTCAGGAGGCTATGCGGGTTACCCCTCAAGGGTCCCCACGCTGCGCAGCTGACCTCCCATCTGTGCCCCTTCCAACTCTGCAAAGGGGCTCGATATCTGATGGGGAAATTCAGGACTCTCCCCCAGGGCTCGGTCACTTACACCCATGCCCACAGCTACTATGGAGGCGGATGTTGGAATGTCCCCGCCGGGGAGCCGGAGGAGCCACTCCGTCAAGCAACATTCAGAAGGTTGGCGTCGCCCCTACTACCATACTTGGGATGACCCGCTTTCTGTGGGATACTACCCCGCTCCAAGGGGGCGGTCCTCTCCACCATCCCGTGACCGGCCACGTCCATTGGACCCGAGGCGGGCATCCCCGCGATCAGCCTGGGATGAAAGCAGCCGTTCCTTTTCCCCAGTGGAGTCTTTGTCATCGGCCCCACCTTATTTCGGTGCCGACTCTGACAATTCAGAGGTCGACTCAACCTCCCCAGATGTTGCCATCACATCCCAGGGTCCTGAGTCACCCGACAAATCCCACGTCTCCTTCACGGAGCTGATGTCCAGACTTGTCCAGTCCCTTGATATCGACGCCGTCCAGTGCCCGGGACCGAAAATGGACAAGTTCTACGACATCGTCCGTGGGGAACAGTCGACATTGATCGTGCTGCCGCTCATTACCACCCTGAGGCAGGCGATGACAGCCCTGGAACTTGCCCTCCCAGCCTCAACCGACGTCCAGGAGGTATGAGTTGATGTACCGGGTGTGGGAGGAGGACATTCCCTTCCTCCTCCGTCACCCCAAGCCGAACTCAGTGGTTGTAGAATCCTCCCAGGGCAGAGAGGCAAGAGGGCATACGGTGCCACGGGACAAGGAGGGCTGGAAGATCGACTCCCTGGCCAGGCGAGTCTACGCTGCTTCAGGCCTGGGGCTGCGGACCTCTAATTACAAGGTGACGTTGGCGAGGTACCAGTACTTCATTATGCAGCGCCTCCACAACGTCGCCTTGACCCTTCCGGACCACCAAGGAGACCTGGCTAAGGTCCTAATCAAGGAGGCGATGCAGGTCATGGTGCACAGTTGTCCACGGCCAGGCACCACGTGGACACAGACTCACGGGCCTTGGTCGGTGCCGTTTTGCTCCGGAGACACACCTGGCTCAGAAATTGCAATTTCCCGGAGGAAACAAAGCGCCAGATAGAGGAAATGCCTTTCGACAGGTCCGGGCTTTTCCACTCTCGCACCAACCACAAGCTAAAGAAGCTGCATTCATCCCGGATGACAGCACGCAGGATGGAGATACAGACCCAAACTAAACGTAAGTGGTCATGGAATCGTCCATCCTACAGGCAGTCTTATCAGCCAAGACAACAATCCCAGCACCGCCAGCAACAACAGCGCCGCCATCCATAGCCCCAACAACGCTACCAACAAGGCCGCCGCCGTTTCGATGATCGGAGGCAGCGTTGACGGGACTGGCGAACCATTCCTCGAATTCCTACTATACCCACCCCCCTCTCATCTGGGGATTGGCTCCGAAGCAGACTCCCCATTTGGGAGTCCATCACATCTGATCGGTGGGTATTGTCCATCGTTCAGCAGGGCTATCAGATAGAATTCGACATCGTTCCTCTGTCGAGTCCGATATGGTTTACATCATGTTCACCAGTATTGCTTGACGAAATGCATCAACTTCTTCGTAAAGGAGTGATTCGTCAGGTATTCCCATCTGACGGACTCTACGGATTCTACTCCAGATACTTTACGGTCCTGAAGCGGGATGGTGGTCTACGTCCGATTTTGGACTTACGCAACCTGAATCAATTTATTCTACCGAAAAAGTTTCGGATGACCACCCTACAAAACATCTTGCCGTTGCTAAGGAAAGAGGATTGGTTCGCGCTCGTTCTCCCCTTCAGGTCATCCATACATCAAATCCTTCATTTCCTATTGAAACTGCACCATTCTGGACTAAAACCATCGTCTATTAAAGTATATGCAGCAGCAATAGCCCACTACCGTGGCTTAGTTGTTGGATCACCTCTCTTTTCTCAACCTATTCTCAAGAGATTTCTAAAGGGACTATACAATCTTAACCCATCAGTCAAACCGGTGATGCCTACCTGGAGTCTCTCGGTTGTTTTACAAGCCCTTACGAAAGCCCCCTTTGAACCACTGGTGACAGTGGATCTGCGCCTCGTTTCATGGAAAACAGCGTTTCTCATGGTTGTCACTTCATCACTTCATCCCGAAGGGCCAGTGAACTTTGCGCTCTCCGCATAGACCCTCCTCATTTGAACTTTCACAGGGAGAAGGTCGTTTTACGCCTTGACCCGTCTTTTCTACCAAAAGTGACTACGCCGTTTCATACAGGACAAGACATCATGCTACCTGCCTTTTTTCTGTCACCGTCGACTCCACTAGAGAGATCTTTGCATTCACTTGATGTTCGGCATTGCTTCGGAAGCCTTTTACAGATCAAGGACTGAGTCTATTCAACGTTCGAATAAACTGTTCATTAAATATTCCACTAGAGATCAGGGTGATCCAGTCTCGCCACAGAGACTTTCCAAATGGATAGTACACACTATAGTCCTATCTTGTCAACTAGCTAAGCTCGATCTGCCTTCAGTCCCTCGAGGCCATTCCACTAGGGCCGTTGCGACCTCATCTGCCTTTGCATCCGGAGTCTCACTTGATGATGTATGCCGAGCTGCTACTTGGGTGAACCCTTGCACCTTCGCCAGACACTACTGTCTTGATGTTTGGGCTTAACGGGATTGCTCCTTTGGCAGAGCTGTTCTTTCGTCTGTTCTTCACTGAGGACACCGTCCTTCCTCCTTTATGGTAAGCTTGTTAATCTACCCATATGTGTGAAGCACAGAGGCGATGACGAAGAAAAGCAGGTTGCTTACCTGTAACTGATGTTCTTTGAGTGGCCATCTGTGCAGTCACACAACCCACCCGCCGGCCCCGCTCGGTGTCGGTGAGTGGATACATCCATCGGTACCGATTCATCTTTCGGTACAGATGATTCCGTTTTTTCCTTCTAAAATTCCAAAAAAAAATTTTTTTCACGAGGGGGCGCACGTTCGGTCACAAAGACTGAACAAAATGGCGGACGCTCCGCTCTTTATAGGCCACGGTGGGGAGGGGGAGCGGAGCTTCCCACCAAAAACCGTTAGCTGGCAATCATCTGGCCAAAGGCACTGCGCAGGCGCAGCACCCATGTGTGACTGCACAGATGGCCACTCGAAGAACATCAGTTACAGGTAAGCAACCTGCTTTTTTTATATAAATTCAGTTAACTAGCCACAAGGTGGTGATGTGGTATAGCAACAGCGTAATGGATGTGCACCAACACACAAGCTTTTTGTTTCCATTTGGCCCAATTTAACATCTAATGCTAGACTTTCCTTACTCTAAAATAATCCTCAAAATGGCCAGAAAACATGGGGCAACTCTAGAGAACAATAATATTGTAAAAAGGCACTGCAGTTGTCCACAAGTTAGAGACCACAAGTGCACTTATAGAAGCTCATATTAAAGTGTGAGAAATGGCAGGAACTTCGTTTCATCCATTAGAGAATGGAACACAGTGGCTTGCTTCTTTTCTCAGAATCCCTTCATAATTGTATTAGAACATTTACCCATCTTTTCTGCTCCAGTAAGTCACTTAAAGTGGCTCAGTCTTACTGTGATGCACATAAGACCAGAAAGGAAAAGCTTTATAGGCATCCATCGCAGAACAGGAAAAGTAGCAGAGGCAATTGTCATCTCACTGCTCTCTTGCTCTGCTTTTCTAGGTAGCCTTCTGACTAGAGCATCGCAGAGGGGGAGAGGGAAGGAACCTAGAACCACTTCAAGATACTCTGTATCCTGGCCTCCCCACTCCTTTTACCTTATTCTGTAATGCTGTCATTTGCCCCTCTCTGAGGTCATTTTCCTAGCTTTCCATGGGGAGAGGAACAGATTTCCAATTCCTACTTTCAAGGTCTAAGCAGTTTCTGACCTTGAATTTATAAACCTATTTTACCAGTGACAAGATGCTTCCCTATTTTACCAGTGACTTTAGTGATAATTTGAAAAGTGAAAAATTGAAGCCATAGAGCCAGAATCTGCCTCCTACTTATAGAATGGTTCCTTTTATCTGTGGGAGGCATTGCACCCAATAAATGAATTCTGTTGGTAGAACAAAAGGGGAAATTTCTGTTGATTCCCCTCCATGTGTAGTCCCTTATGCATCCCCTCTAATTCTGCAAATCTGCTCTGAAAAGCTGGGGGTTCTGTGGGTGTTGCTGAAGGAATGAAGCATTGAAAATAATGTCTCCTCCCATTATCCATTTGTTTGAGCTTCTGAGGAGACTTTGTCTCAAGGAATGCTCTCCCCCCCCCCCCAAAAAAAAGGTGGCAACTCATAGTATCTCAGATAAACAAGAACTAATGCTGGTTCTGTTAAGAACTATCCTGATATATTTTTATTCTGAACACCCCTGACTGAAGAAGAGGCTGCAGTATTTAAAAACCTTGTTAGATTGGTGAAATGTTATCATACAAAAAATGAACTTTTAAGTAATGGCAGAAGCTAAACTTGGTTTCTTTTCTTTTCTTCAAGTTAATCATATTTCACTGGGACATGATAACAATATCCTGAAGGAATTGCCATCAAAAGGTGACAGACGATCCAATTCTGTTGACACGGTGGCAACTGAACCATGGCTGAGACCTGGGACATCAGAAACCCTTCAACATGGCTGAGCAGTCAAGTCAAGCAAAAGTTACCTCTGATGAGAAGAACTTACCTTTCAATTGGCAGGGGCTATCAACTGCCCATGGCTGAATAAATCTGCAGTGAAGCCAGTTGTGCCTTTTAAAAGAATGTTTAGTCACTACTGCACTTTTAATTGTCTTCAATGTTAATAATGTAACAAATCTTGTAAACAGGTAAACAAGCTGATTATGGTGAGTGCCTCTAAAGTTAAGCTGCCAGGATGTTACTGATAAGACCCACATGTGGAAGTGGACCTCCTGCAGCAGGTCACCATCAGGTTAGACCTAAGCACACAATTACTCAGCTAGTTCAATGGCACAGAGGCAAACTTTACACTTTTGGTATTTTTTTGTTTGACAGATTACCTCAGACCTCAAGTACTACCACTACAAGATTGAGAAACATCCTGAGTTTAACAGAGCTGAGAACTGTTGCTTCGGTTTCTCAGATATGTAGTAGAATGTTAGGGATCGGCATAGGACTTTTGCTACTTTACTATCACATAATCATTTTCCAATCATTTGTCCTAAAATGTGAGATTATTCTGCCTTGTGTTTTTGATGTCAGTAGTGAACACTACTGTGAAATGTATTTATGGTTTTGATTTTAAGATAATAAAATAAAATATATTTTATTAAAAGTTTACCCTGTCATGCTTAGAGAGGTGGCCCACTGAAATTAATGGGGCAAGCATCTCTGGACTAAATTTGGACTCAACTGGAATTGAAAGGACTCAGAGAAAAATAAGCTACCTTAGGATTGCTGAGAAAGAATGTGCCATTTTATGTGCTCTTTTTATATGGAAGCAGTGCCAGCTACATAAAAGCCTTTGCATTCTCTGCTAATGTCTATGGATAGCTTTCTTCCATTCCCATGGAATTTAAGGAGGCATTTTAGTGTGAACCAAAAAAATGACTTATCTAGCTAATGCAATGGTTCACTATTTTTAGGTCTGTTTGTTTCTTGTTCTCGCTTTCATTTTCAGCAATTCCCACTTGATTTTTTTAATCTCCAGTAGCCAACCAGTCAACATTCTGTACCTACTGAGGATACACAGGAATTGCCTGGTTGCTTAGGGTGGGCAATCGCAGTTGCATTGCTTTTTTTCACTTATGTCTACAGGTGGCATTTATTCTGGCTCTAACAGCATTTTAATTTTTACATCTGTGCCTCCCTTTCTTTCTAAGGCACCCTCATTTTCTCCTCTCATGTGGTTTCCAGTGCTTTATCCCTAGTCAAAAATTTGTTTTTACAGTTACAGGGATTATGAAAGCAGTACAATGCCTGATTATGCCAGTGCCATCAAAATTAAGTATTTTAATATTAAACCATGGAGATATTAGTTTTCCATTATATTAGTTTTGATTGCACCAGTGAAAGAATTCAAAAACTTTATTGACCTATAACCTGATTAGAATATGCCAGATGAGAACCAATATTGTACAGAAAGTTGTACAGAATTTACATAGAAAACTTTACAGAGCTGTACCATATACATTTTTCCATCTGAAATTTTTTTCTACATCCACTGTAAGACAGAATGCTTGACAATCTTTTCTTTAACCATCAGAACACAATTCACAGTATGAATACATTTCCAATAAATTTAAAGCCATCCCCAAACCATGCCAGATTCATTACTTGAATATATTCAACATTAAATTCTGTACACAGAGTGAAATCTACATCAAACAATCAAAATAAAAATAGTGACAGCAGACAAAACTTAGACTTGTTTGCAGTGATTCAAGTTCCAGTCCTGAAGGATCATTGAGATGGCTTGTTATATTTAAAAGCCCTATCACAGGTATATATTACAAACAGTTAATTGTGACATTTTGAGTCTTTCCTCGACCAAAGTCAGCAAGACTAACTCTTAGAATACAGACCAAAATCATCACAACTCAACCTCAGACTAGTGCATTTGGTAAACAAACTTATGGGTCTCCAAGAAATACAAGAAATAAATGCAGGAAGAACTGTATAGTGTTTAGAACCTTATATTACAGACCTGCATTTCTGTACATTTTTTTTCACAGAAGGATGATTACTTATATCTCAGAAAGCCTGAGTGTGCAATTTTTTTCTGGAATAAGAGTTCCATATAATTGCTAGATCTCTTAACATGAGCAACATTTCCATTTTGTAATATTATGGTAAGTATTTCTTTCAAAATACAACTCTCCTGAGCTGTATCTCTGTAAAAGTTCTAACTTTTAAAATGTGTTAGTCCTTTGGGTACATCCTCACACCCAAAATAAACAGCTTTTGATATATATTAGAGCCTAGGAAAATAAGAGGGTATCCACAGTCAGGTTGGAAATGAGACTGTGTTAAAACTGGCTGTGTGCGTAACACCAGTCAGGAGAAAGAGAAACCCCACTGAAGAACTAGAGTGCTGCAAACCTAAATTACAATTTTAATCTTCATTGTGAACCCATATATGCACAATGCCATATAAAGAAAACCTTTTTTATTGGCATCTAGTGCAAATTTACTTGGTCCTTTGTTTCCTTGGCCATGCTTCTACTGCTTGGCTGTTCCTACCTCTTGATCTGGTAGTTGGGATATTTGAAAAACTACTCCAATCCGTAGAAAAAACCTTCGCAAAACGGCTCGTAACTCAGGGATCAGATCAAACTGCATTATTTCACACAAGAGAGGATAGTAAAATGATGCATGAGCTTTAAACTGTTGGGGAGAAAAGAGGAATTTGTTAGGCATCGACTTCAGTTCATGAGGAGATTTGTAATTCAAGCAATAATTAGTGGCATTAAAGAATAAGCCATGGATGTAATTCAACTTCATTCTGAAATGAAAATGAAGATAGTAGCAGAACTGAAACAAGAGGGGAGGAGTCTTATGCTGGTTCTAATTTGGGTGGTTAATTCTTGCTAAGTAAATCCTGAAAAGACCAAAGCAAAAGACTAAAGACTCTGATAGTTTTCTTCAGAGGCTTTTTACACATATTTTCTCTCAAAATGCCAGGAAGGGGTTGTGGGGAGAGGTACAACAACCCAAGATAAACATACGCCAGAACTTCTCCCAATGCTCTTACTTTACCAAAGTGTCCTTGTGTACCTTATCACTATATTCACCTTGCTTTTTGATGATTTGTGGCAATTCTCAATATACACTTTATGTTCCTTATGCAGGGATGCCAATTTACAACCAGAATATATGCCCGCCCGCCCCCTGAGATCTGCAGGAGAGGCCCTTCTCCGGGAACCCTCTGTGAAGGAAATTAGGAGGGTGAGTACTTGGAGGAGGGCTTTTTCTGCGGTGGCGCCCAATCTATGGAATGCGCTCCCCAGAGAGGTCCGCCTGGCGCCGTCATTTGTTTTTCGGCGCTAGGCGAAGACCTTTTTATTCAAATGTCATTTTAACTGTTAATAGTATTCATTCATTTTATTCTTTGGCCAGGGCGACTCAATTTATACTGTTAATTTATATTATTTTAACGAAGTTTATTTATGTTTGTGAGCCGCCCCGAGGCATCGGCGAATGGGGCGGCATAGAAATTTCCTAAATAAATAAATAAATATTGACAGAATATCAGCAGAGGTTATGTGCTATTTTATCATTTACATGTGTGTTACATTTTCACTGGAGTTGCTGCAAAACCTGAATTCCAGCTTTGGATTACAAGATCTATTTAAGACACACCTATAAAATCAGAGTAGGCTCAAATCAGATATAAAGTAGGTCTAAATAGCTATCTTGGCATGCAGAAGTCAACTACGATGCAGATTCCCCTCAGGAAGTCTAGCTTTAATTACCTTAGCAGCTGCCAGGGCTGCTGTGATTAAATGTCATAAAGGTCTGAGGATGCAAACAGTTCCCAAACACTACATGCTAAACTCAAGATAATTGGGCATTATGGGAAGAATAATTCTAATGAAAGTTCCAGAATCCAGGCTACTTGGACATAATGGGAAATACATGACTCTGTCTAAGTATGCTGGACAAATTATGTTATGTATAGCAGGCCTACATTTAGGCTTAGGCCTTAAAGATATATATATTGGGTATATATAATCTGCTCTCTCTCTCTCTCTATATATATATGTACGTACGTACGTACGTGTATATATGTATCTGAAGTGACTGATCTATGCTTGAAAGGCAACATTAAAGACATGTTAGAGCCTATAGTCTAAAGCCAGGCACAAGCCTCCTGAAGGGGAGATCCAATCCACACTGATACTAGAACTAATTTAACAAATAGATTGGAGTTGGCCTACCACTCCTTAATTATACCAAGTGTCAATAATGAGGCTTTTAATATTCCCTATTCATTTACTAGTCATACTTACCCGATCATCACTTATCTTTAGGATCTTTGTTAAAAATAAAAGGAGCAAGCTAGTCCATGCTTCTCTGTGACTTTCTGATGTCAAAGTAAGGAAATAACCAAGTGCTTCACTGCAGACACTGAAAAGAACATGCCAACAGGAGATGAAGTTCAACTGTATGGATAGTTTGCTGCAGAAGATATGATGCTATTATAGCCAGAACAAACCATAAAGAAAGCCTAGATCAGAAAATGTTTAATGTATTCATAGTAATATATACTAGAACAAATTTGGGTGAGGCCACCTGGGGAACCACCTCCTCTTCCATCAACCTGCTCACTAACAGAGATCCCTGGGAGGCATGCCCCTTGGAGGTTCCATATGGCGCTGTGGCCCAAATGGAATACACCCAGATTCAGTGCCTTCTGTGTAGCAACTCCATACTCTATTGTTTTCAATGCTTTCCAGAAACTCCTATTTCAGGAAGCCTTCCTGAATGAAATTACCACAGTTTTATTGATCTTGTTTTAAAAATTTTATTCTTCTACATGTTTTATCTTTTGATTCGCTGCTCTAATAACCTTATATTGGTATATGGAGCAAAATATAAATCTTGGAAATAAATAAAAAATAGCAATCTGTTTTAAAAAAGAATCCAAATTGTTCCCTACATATGGATACCTCCATAGTACAATGCATTTTGGAGGTTTGGCACAGTTTAGGTAAAGATGGGTAATTGAGTAGGCAAGTACAAGGCTAGACATAATGTTCATGCAGTTTGATTTAAAGCAGTCACACAAAGCAGTCACTGATCCTATGGAACAACTATAACTGGATGATTTGCTGATCATGTAATATTTGTAGTTACATCTCAAAGGGAGCAGTGACACAGCAAATAAGAGGGAAAATGTGTTGAGAATGGTGGCATCCAATGAATTTTAGATATGTCTGGGTAATGGGAAGGGAAGGAAAGACGATGGTGGCTCACAGTATCATCAGCTGGTTTTACTCCTAAGAAATTACTCCTAAGAAACAGCAAAGGATTGGGTCCAGAGAAAAGCCAGTGTAAGGTAACTTTCTACCATTTTCAGGTAATGCCTGAATGCTTCTCACAAGGTGTTAGCTTCTGTCTGATTTTATTTTCAGTGACCCATCTGCTCCACAGAACACAGCATTCACCAGGGTCCCTCCAACCCTTGGGAAATGCTTTCCGGAGGGGTTTCTGGAAGGAAGGAGGATGCAGAAGAATTCTCTGCATTTCCTACCACCTGCAGTTTTCTGGATCCAATCTAAACAGTATAATTCATATAATAACCTTGAAATTGCAACTGTAAACATATGATGC